TAACGCTGAGGAACAAAACACTGTTGTTCAGAGACGCAGCAGTTCTGCTGATTGTTCTATTTTCTTTCTGATGGCGCAAAACGGAATTTTGTGTCTGAAAGTTACTCTGTAAGTTGTTGTTTATTTGCGATCGTGCAGATATTTGGAAAAAAAAACAGGACTCTTGTTTGTGTGATAGGCCAAGTCCTATATCATAGGCATAGCTATGTTATAAAAACAGAAACTCATTAAATTGCTATTTTTTATTTAAAATCATTTTGATGACATTTCTTCCCCACTATGTGTAATGGCAGTAAGAGAGAGAGCGCACAAAACTCATCAGATGATCACATAATTTAGTGGAACATTAATATAGTAATATAGAATCATCCTCTGTAAAGAAATGAGGTGTGAACATTTGAGAATTTATCATTATCTTTCTAAGCGTGCACTCTTTGGGGCTAAAGGCTTAATGGAGCCGTTTAAATTAGCCATGTGATAACAAACCCATCGGTGCAGACGCGATTCAATACGTATGTCCTTCTTCTATGTGAAATAATCATAAATACCAGTTTATGCTATTTGATTGGCCTCGAAGGTCATAGTTGTAAGTTGTAGCCCCGGCTGGCCCGTTTAGATCTTGCGTGCGCAGTGGAAATGCGGCTAATCATTTCTGAATTCTGACTGGCACATTACGAACAAATCAAACAGGCACAGGCGGGGCCCCCTACTAGGCGGGGCCCATGGGCTGCAGCCCACTCAAGCCCAATGGTAAGTCCGGCCATGGTTATTATGATGAAGTATTGATTAATGGCTAATTCTTTAATAACTGGAATAAAGCATGTCAACATATTCTGTTACACCAAATACACAAAATAATGATCTTTAAAAAAGCATCATATGACCCCTTTAATAAGCCCAACGCCACTCACACATCAATGACCATTACATTGTTTTAGAACTTGGGTTCTCCACATTACATTAATGCAAGGTCACTTTTCATTAACTAGGAGAGAGGGCTCATACAGCTGATGAATACTCACCTTCCAGGACACCCACTGCCAGAAAACGGCCATAAAACAGGTCAACCATCGGGTTCTTTGGCTTCTCTCCCTCTCTGTGTAGAACAAGAGCAAACATAGAGTCACATGGGGCTGGAAATGTTCTGAACAACAGGAGTCGGTGTCCTTTGGCGGAGGACTGTCTTCAGCAGGAATTTAACGGTGCTAATTGAAGTCATACAAGTTAATGTACCACATTAATCATCATTAATGTCTGTTCCAGCTGAATTTGTGGTGCGGTCATACATCATTCTGACTGATATGACAGGATCACAGAGATACAGTGGAAAGCTTGTGAAAGCGAGTGATGGTCATCAGATATTCTGGTGGGACGTATATGGTCTTACCTGTCCTCCTCTGCCTTTATCTGAAACGCGTCCTCAAGCCAGTCCAAGAGTTTATGGGTGAACTCACTCACATCCTGCTGTACAAACAAACACACCAATTCAAATCCTGAACAAATTTATTCTTGTTTTAACTGGTCTCAATTGGTTCTAGAAAATAACAATTTTGCCCTTCTCTGTGCTCTCATTAAGTGCAAATGTGGCACAAAAATGTGTCCAAAATAAAAAACGGTCACATGTACCATATTAATCAAAAGGTTGGGCTTATCTATGATGCTGAGAGCGTATAAAACAAACTGACCCTTGGCACAAATATTGAGAGCTCAATAAGTGTATCCGTTTTTGCAGCATTTTGTTTTTCCCTGAAGCCCACTTATGAGTCTACTTTTTATATTGTACCAAAAAAGTCATAATTTCATTTTAAATGACTATTTTACCAATTCAATGATATTTGGAATGAAACACGCTTTTTGTTACTACTGTAACATTTCTAAAGCCGGTGTTATACTTTCTGCATGAGCAATCCGGACGCGTACACGGACGGCGCAGACGCGGACTACTTGTATTTATACTTCCGAAAGCATACGCTGATGGTCCGCTCCGTGGACGTGTTCCATATGTCACGCATACCATAGCGAACCCTAGCGGACTCGGAAAGTATAACACAGGCTTTAGCCTTTAAGGTGTACTGTACCTTTAAGACTATATACTGTATGTAAATGACAGAAACTTACCTGCTGAGATTCACTGGACTTAAAGGCATCCTTGAGGATCTCCACGGCCCTGGACGGGTCCACATACTTTCGCTTGGAACCCACCAACAAAGAAAAGAGGTGTCTCAGCTCCTGCATGAAGGGCAGGTTCCTGTGCTCCTATGGGAACGCAAATGGAGACCAAATTAAAAACTTAACAGCATATGAAGTGCTCCTGCAGCTCAAACAGCAGAGCATAGCACCAGCAACATCAAGGTCATGGGTTTGATTCCCAAGGAGTACATAACTGATATAAAATGTCAGCCAAATGCATAAAAATGTCAAATGTATCACTGGTTTTGGGATGTTGTATGTTAACTTAACATTGATATAGGATATGATGGCGAATTGTTTAGTGGATTTGGATGATTAGAGTTGATTAGTTAGGTCTGTCTGCTTTCAAGTAAGGATATCTTTGCCTTACAAACATCTCGATGTCATACAGGGGTCAGAAACCTTCACCAGATCACATCATCTGGATTTTCTTCTTCGGAGGACACTTTTAATTGATAATAGATTAAAGTCTAGCAAGAGCTCAGCAGATGAAAGAAAACGAGCAATAAAGAGAGAGAAAAGGATGAATTCAGGGCTCTGTGGTCTTCTATCAGTGGATGAGGTTAAGCTCAGATTAGTGGCCATGTCTGCTGACCCCGTTCACAGGCTCAGGGGCCCCAGAGGAACATACTGAAGAAAGAAATCACAGACAGCAGCTAGCCTGCTGAGCCAGACACTGTCCTCTTCTTCTTTCACTTTTAAACGCAGTCCGGAGAAGCCGGTGTGACAGTTTAAAAGCTAGAATATAGGGACCTTGAAAAAGCACTTCCTCTGCTTCAGCTCATCTGGTCACAGGCCAGTCAGTTGGGTGAAAACCAGTGCTTGTAACAGTACGATAATGTCACAGCATGCAACTGAGGCTCAAACAAGGTCACAGTTGCTGGAACTAAGTGTGTCTGGAAGCTCTTATGGCATGAGAGCTGGGTATTGGGCGGCAATCTCACCTTCTGATTGCGGGGCAAGTCCTGCATCCGTGCAGGGGGCGAATAATGCAACACCAGCCTCTGGAACTCCAGCAGGTTAAAAAGAGACTGAAATATATAGATAAAAAGATCAATATCAGTATTTGAGAACAGTGTGTACCAGCTCTAATATTAACGCAACCTTGTGATGATACGTTAGACAAAATAAAAAGACTGCATGTGCTTCCCACAAACGCATTTAGCATTTTTCTCACGGACGGATTGTTTTTGGTGACAGATTCACACATTTAGTGTCTCCTTGTCCAGATCTATAAATCCACAGAGCTGCGAGTGCCAGAGCAGCTGCTGTTCTTACATGAGCGGGGGCTTCTTCAGGCGTCAGGTTACACACAGGAGGTAAACAGCATGTGACAGTACTCAGCGATCATTACTCAGCTATCAACATGGTTCATGTTCTGACATCGTATAACAGACACAAACAATCAGGCCTCATTAGAACCTGAAGTCACCTTCAAAGTTGTTTTAAAAAGCCAATACATGCAGACAAATATGAGTACAATATTAATGTTGTTTGGTAGTAATAAATAATTACAGTAATAAGCAATATTAAATGTAATAACAAATTAATAATATAATAAACAATAATAAATTTGCAATTGCAATTAGCGTCGTATAAAAGCAATTAAGACACTTAAGGCCAAGCAATACAATTTCACCACTTTGTGTCATTTTTGAGCCGTTAACAGAGAAAACAATATAATCACATATAATTTTGACTGTGCCGAAAGTGGTTATTTTATATTTTTATACACCCTGTATATATACACACACAGTTCAAAAGTTTGAGGTCGGTAAGATTTTTTTGTTTTTTTAGAAGTCTCTTTTGTTCACCAAAGCTGCATTTATTTGATGCCAAAAAATTTTTTTTTTATTAAACTTAAAATAATTATTTCCTGTGATGGCAAAGTTTATATTTTAGCAGCCATTACTCTAGTCTTCAGTGTCACATGATCTTTCTGAAATCATTCTAATATGCTGATTTGCTGCTTAAGAAACATTTCTTCATTTCTTTCTATTCTTTGATGAACAGAATGTTCAAGTTGAAATTGTTTTGAAAGTTTGACATTTTTGAAAGCTTATTTTTGAAATTTAAGGTATCCTTGCTGAATAAAAGTTACAAATTTATTTCTTTCAGAAAAAAATAAAGTTTGAACATTGTTTATTATATAGTTTCTTGGCATATTTCATCTACTCCAGTGCTCTAAACTTGATCCAGCAAAATCTAGATGCACATATTCCATTACATCTTCTCCGAATTAAATATACTGATGCAATTAACAGCACTGATACAGCAGTATCTCTGCATTAATAACTGCAATACAAGGCCACTCGACTTCATTCAGATCTGCAACACACATGGGACTACCATAATCAAATTGTCTGGAGCATTATAAAATCAAATAAGACGCAATTAAAATTAATTAAACTGTCATTTGTTGTTTTTCAGTTCATTAAATAAGCAAATGTGTTTCCAATTGTAAAGCAATCACAGCGGCTGACACGGACCTGTATAACTGCACTGAACCAGCACGTGTTCCCCACGTTCTTCAGCCCTACGGGACAGTTCTCCTGCCTCTTCCTGTCGTGAGGGTTGGGTGAATCGCTCCATACTTCTGTGTGCGTGCGCTTCAGGCTGGCCTTGTTCTCAGCAATGCTAGCCTCCAGGACTCTGAAGCACAAAGACACAAACTTTACTCCTGTCTGTTTACTCCACATATAAAATGGTTTCGAAATAACTCTACTTGTCATGTGGTACACTTTTTTTGTTCTAAAATCTACAATAATACAAAATATTCAGCAGGATAAAAGTACAGTTAAAACCCCACCTGCTGATAGCCTGCTCTTCGTCAGTGATGCCTGTCTCCCTGAAGGCCCTGTTTGACTCCTCCAGACTGAGAGCGATGGCCCGCTGAAGGTCATCTTTATCATCTCCAGTGAGATCAATTACATCTGAAACAATCATAGGAACACTGGAAGTAAACAAAATGGGTTACTAGCAAATGATGAGTGTGTGTTTTTTATATTTATTTATTTATATTTATTATATAAATAAATTTGACTTGACTAATAGTTTTCTCCACGTACTAAATTGGGATAGGAGAGAAAAAAATATTAAAAATATTACATGCTTCACAGTTAAATAAATTTATTTTAAATTTATTTTAAACAGTATTTACTCAATATTCACTCAAAAATATTTGAAAAACTAAACAGTCACTAGATTTTGAACACTTTTGTTAAACAGCTAATGTCAAGCGTCTACATTTTTAAATATCGTCCGATAAATCAGCTCAAATACAAACATGAGGCAGCATGCCAAACTAACATTCCCTCTGTCAGCATTTTCTCAGCAGTAGGACTAGAGATTGTTTCATCATCATCTGAAGCAAGCTGGGAGGAGTGGCAGGCTGGCTCTTTAAAAGGTCTGGCTCTCTGAGATGATGTGCATGTATTTATAAGAGAGCTGTCAGTGTTATGAGTTACATGAGGTCTCATCTCTTTCCTTTCAGCAGGGCGTGTGGAATAAATATTAATTCTCTGGTTTGACACAGCAGTGCTAATTTACTCCTGCAGTTTAGAAGGTAATGAATCAGTCCTAAAATCCCACTTACTAAGTTCAGGCACTAGAATACACAACCCTCTACATTGCGAGTAAATCACTCGCATATGTGACTAAATCTTCACTCTGGGCGACTAAATGATGTCTAATATTAGCCAATGGCTAATAAATTCTTAGATTTTACTCGCCAGTGTGTGAGTTGGAGAGAAGGGTATAACTGCAGCCTGGAGATCTCCAAATGGAGGCGGGAACTCCAAAACTGGGTGGGATCTCCAAAATAGAGCGTGGCTTCCTCCCATTGACAGACAGGCACATTACACACATGCGCACTTTTCCCCCCAATCCACTTCAGTGCAAACTCCGCCCCACAGCTGATTCGCCCCGGGATGCCCCCGCTGCTTAAACAAAGCGATAGAGTAAAACCTTTCCTCTGCGCTGCGCTGGGACGGCTTGCGGGAGAGCTCGTGGGTGATTCCCGTTTATATCATTAAGCAGATGTTCAAACTCCAGTCCGAACACCACTGGCCACGAGCTTTGGGCTCTGCTCTTGCGGAGAATATTTACTTATATAGCA